GGGTGGATGGATGTGTCAATTTTACAAAATTCGACATGCATGATGCTTTTCACCTTTAATCAAACACCATATTTCCTATATAATTTCTTGTTTTCCATCTAGGCAGAGCCACTATTCTTCAGAAGAGCTGGCCTTTGTCAACAGCTGGTTGAACTCAGCAGAGTATGTAGCTGCAGCTCATTTCCAGGCCAACTTGGAAAAATCTACATTGTTCCTGACCCCTCTGCCAAGTAGAATTCTACGGGTAAATACATTTTCATCTCTGTGTTTACTTTCCGATTATATTTTAAGACATTTACAGACAAAATGTTTTTTCCCCGCATGGTGCTTCAGGCGGGTGATGTGGCACCTAACATTGCTGATCTGAGTCAGGAGGAGAACCACTCACTGTCAATCTTCTCCTGGATGAACAACATAAATAATCTTCTTGGTAAGAAATAAACACACAAAGTTTAAGTATTTTCCCTTCTTACATTAGAGTTTGTAAGCTTTTAAGTGAGATCATTACCATGTCATCTACCAGGCGGGTCGCTGGTGCGTATGTGGAAAAGCGCCATGTGCTCAGTGGCTACAAGAGAGAAAGGAAGAGATTTGTTGGAGCAACTGCTTCTGAATCCCGGCTTCGCCACCAGCACTTTCCTGTCCATCATCACTGAAATGACAACAAGCTGCTGATTCTAACACAGAGGAAGAGAAGAAGACATCAACTCCTTCCAAACGTTCATACCAGGACAATGATTTCCCTCTTTGATCCATGAGTTTTTTTTTGTTGTCACACTTGTTAATATTTCTATCCCAGTAAAGATTCCATAGATCCTGACTTCACTGTGATTGAACTATTTTCTTTTAAATTGTATATGTTGCATTTTTACTGTAAAATCTGATTCAAGACGTCTCACACACCAACTCAATGTTAAATTTTCTTGCCTCTACTTTGTTTGGCATAAATAAAAGTCAAACTGATAATCATATATAAGAAACAAAAATACAATATGGCATGTGTATGATTTTCCAGAAATATTCACTAATGTCTATTTTCATGATCAGTCCACTAACATTAATGTCAGGGAAAGTAGAAGGTCCATTTTCGTCACAACAAACCTACCTCAGTCCAATAGCGCTCTCTCATGGACATGCAGGGTCACAGCAATGGTGTTGTATCACTTTTCCAACAGGCGAAGTTGTATTACACAAATCAAGGTTAGCCTAAATTGCCTAAAGTTAAAGTGCAGTTGCCATGCATACATCTTCACTCCATAGCACTTTTGTTTAATTTTACTGTATAAATCTGTAGTGAGTTTGAAAGAGAGCTTCTGGGCTGATTAAGCTGCCAGTTTACTGAGTCCATATACAGAAAGCAAAGATTCTGGAGAACCTTTATTGAAACACAACATGAAATAAAAATTGTACACATTTTGACTCTGTGGCGATGGGTATGCATGAAAAGACCATTTTCAAAAAGGAGAAGACAAAGGAACATTGTATCTGCCATAGAAAATGCACAAGGAACTCCTTTGTGTGTTATCACCATAAAGTATCCTTCCCTAAGTCATGATTGTCCATGGAAAAGCAAGTACAAAAATCACAGCAACAAAACACAAAGACAAAGGCTGCACACTATGTGTGCTTTAAGGTACTTTTTGTTGCAAATTATTTTCTTCCTTTCAATGACCATTATTTTTAATTTAGTGACAATTTTTGCTCAGCTGCTTAGTATAAAAAATATACAGAGGTGGGATTAAAAAAAACCTTTAAAAAAATATCCTAATCACATGAAACAGAACACATACCGTACTTATAAACACAGATAGATAAATGTCACGTGGGCTGAATTTGTTTTGTTCTGTCTGCACATATATCACATGAAATGTGGCAGTTTTCAAACAGGACACACTGGTAAGTGCTGCCTCCTGTTGATAACGTTGCAACATCTGATTTACTGCAGTGGCCCCCGAAAGCGTGGGGTGGGCCCTTTTTAGAGACGCATGACTTGGGGTTGAAATGTGGAAAGAAACTATAAATGTACAAAACCCTGTTTTCCCCAGCAGATTAATTTAATTACAGGCGTAATGGAAGGACAAATAACAGTTGCTAACTGTTGCTGTTGAAGAATGAATGTGCGATCACAGCTTTGGAACTGTAACGAAGAACAGCTGGCCTGTGTAGCTTCTAAACAAAAGGAGTAATGTGCTTTACTACTTTTAGTATTCAGCATACCAAGAGTTTGGAATCTTGTATTTATTCATTTTCCAAACACAAAATTACCAACATTGCAGGGAACAGTTCAACCAGTACTTTTGCATCTGTTCAAATGAAAGCTGCCTATTGCCAAATGTCTAGAATCAATAGAATTGTTTCAGTCAGAAAGTTAATCTCAATCAAGGTTCACAACTGTAACATCAGCATAGCTACTTATTGGGATCCAGATATGATATGATTAGAGTTTGCAATAACATTTTGCCTGGATCTTAGTTTGCTTTTTTGTACCCATACACCTGGTAATAAGTGAATAAGTGAATACAAGGATTGACAGGAAATGTTTGAATAGCTATAACAACCAAAGGCTGCATCTCAGACAACACTGGTATCAGTCTTTAAAAGGTTTAAGTTGATGACTGGTAATTAGGGAAGACGACCAGCTCAGGCATTCTTTCTTTTTTTTGGAAAGGTTGTTTGAGAGAGCAAAAACTTGTATCTTAATGAACAAGAGATCTTGTACAGTGTCCTTTGAGCAAAGGAGACCAAAGTGGAGATGTTTGATCATAATTTACCACGTCACGTTTACTGAGAACCAAGAACAGCATATCAGAGCAAGCACCTCATACCAACTGTCAAACACAGTGGTGGAGGGCTGATGATTTAGACTTGTTTTGCAGCCACAGGACCTGGACATCTTGCAGCCATTAAGTCCACCATGAATGCCTCAGTATTCCAGAGTATTCTCAAGTCAAATATGAGCCGATGTGTCTGACAGCTAAAGCTTGACTGAGACGGGGTCGTGCAACAGAATAATGACCCCAAACACAGGAGCAAAGCTACAACAGAGAGCCTGGACAACGAAAAGAGATGAGGTGCTGCAGCGGTCCAGACATTCAGGGTTTCAAAACGGTGGTGGAAAAATAAAATTATAAACCCCATGCAGAAAATGATCACCTCCAGTTAAGGTTCTTTAAGCCATCAAATCATTGGGTGTTTCACACACTGCTTCTGCATTTTGGCCTAGTTTTACCAGAATGTGAAGAGTAATACCAGACATTTGGGGTTGTATTTTCTAATTCTCAGAGCAGTTGTACTCTGATCTGTTAAACAAAAAAAGGTGTTGAAAAACAACAGAAAAGGGTCATGAAGATATATTAGCTGATACAAATGGTGAAGCAGAAACAGTTTGGTTGCCACCAATTTACAGTAACAAAGATTTCTTTGTCAGTAATACTGTGGCATTGTCAGCAATACTTAAGGTGTATCATACTATGTTGAGGAAGGTGAAATGGTTCAAGTGTCACTCTGAGCCCGACTGTATCTTAGTAACTGTAAGCACACCAAAAACAAACATATATTATAAATGTTGCCACACTCCAAAAGCACCGATCGTCATGGCTGCATATCCTCCCCGTTTCCTCTCGGCAGTGGATATAAATTTCCAAAAGCTCAACAAAAACCTGTGAAAGATGGGATAACTAACATAGAGTCTGTCCAGATATGAAACAGGAATGTCACTGTAAAGTCTAAACACAGGAGAGGAGTGGAGCTGGAGGCAGAAATTTAAACAAACATTTGTCACATCGGAGACCTCAGGCCGTACAAGAAGGGATACAGCTTAAGCAAAAGCCTTCCAAATATACATCACATCTCACTCAAATAAATTTTAATCAGGGTGGAAAACATCCAGCCATTTAGACATGTTTGGCTTGAAACAAACCTGTATTTCACATACACACATGTAATACACAGTTTGGGCCGTCGTCAATCTGGTCTCGGCTTGTTGCCGTCCGCTGGGTGGTGAGGTAGAGACATGACTGAATGGCAGACCTGCTGTTAGCTAACTTGCGGTGGAGTTTGCATGCTGATGGCATTTGCATCTGTTGAGTGCTGCTTGGCCATATGAGAGGTAGAGGATCTCTGTGCCTCACACAGGAAACTGCCCTGAGCCTGGTAATGTACTGGAACGTGAGTGTGTGTATATGAAGGTACCTGTGAGTGTATTTATTCTATCTGAAAGTGAAAGTTTCCAAAACAGTGAACACATATATAAGGACAGTGGGGGAAGGGTTTTTATGCTTCTCCGTAGGCTGAGGCCTTGTCTTTTAACAGGTCCAGACACAAGTGACAGCTCCAGCTTCCTGTGGACAAAGAAAGACAGAGACAGGTTGAAATCCATGTCCTTCACTCTTTACCATTTATAGCATTTTGCCTGCAGCCTATCCCCGGCCATGATACATGCACAATTCATCCACCAATGGGTTTAATAAAACGTGTCTCACCTTCAGGAGGCTGGGTCATGGGAGGCTTCAGGCAGTACATGTGATACCCTCTGTCACAGTCATCACAGAACAGTAACTGATCCTACATGAAACGCAAACAATCAACACCTTAACAAATACAGATAGAACAATGGGCAGTGTCAGAGCAAATGAAATTACAACAACAACTGATCTCCACATTTGGATATGGCTGTTACATTGGTTGTCAACGTGTATTTACAGTGTAATGAGTGGTATGCATGCTGGTAAAACACTAACAAGTTAAAGGTGGTGCTTTAAAGCCCTGAATCTATCTAGTCACAACGGATGTCGACGGTTCCAGTTTTTGATACATACATCGTTCTCTGAGGTGCCACAAAGGCTGCAAGACTTGCACTCGATGCACTGCCACTGGTACGTCCTCACCGCCTGCATCATGTTATCAGTGAACTGCAGGCATGTGGGGTGACCTGCAGAGGGGTGGTGAGGCAAGAGATGAGAAGGACCTAAAAGTTCCATTTCCAGCTTGGAAAGTCGGAGGAGCCTTGCCAGCCCTGGCCTCAAACTCCAACATGGCTGCCTTGTGCAGAAAAAGCAGCAGAAAAAAATATTGACAAGCCCTTTGAGTTTGATCCTCACAACACCAGCAGCATACATGCTACTGCCCAAATTCTGTCAATGAACATATTCTTATTCTGTTTGTGCACACAAAATACAGCATAAAGTTTTGCAATGAACTTATTTGAAAATACTAGTGGAGTCCACCTGACCTGTGAGGTCCTTCACTGCTCGGAGTTCAAACTGAAGAAAAAAACGGACGCAGCACAAGTCACCCACTTTCCACTTCACCCACACTGTTGTCTTTGAAAAAGAGCTCTGACTTTTAAGTGTTGACCGCGTCTGTCGTACAGACAACTATAACTGCAATCCCACCGCTCACAACTTTATCAAGCAGCAGGAATATACATGCAGTATGTCTGGAGAACAGAACACTAGCATATTTCATCATCTTCCTTTAAATCTGCTGCGGAAACATATTTGACACGACTTGATCAGCCATTGTATTAAAGCCACATGTGTAATATTCAACTAAGAAGGGCCATTACTCTGTTGACTTTTGGATGTAAACTGGCGACAGTCTTTGAATCATGTGGATTGCAGTTAAGAGGCCGAAAATGTGGTGGATTGCAGTAAAAGTTTAAAAGGTTTCCTGTTACTGTAGCTGTATTTTACGGCCTCAAACCATTATGTACATATATATTACTGCTAGAATCAATGGGGTATTAATGAGCCGTTATTAACCCAGAACAAATCTGTATCTGCACAACCAAGGCGGCAAGAAACACTGAACACAATCCCCCAAAAAACACTGACTGATGGATGAAAAAAACACTTATGGTGAGTTCAAATTAAAAGCATAAAAATCATATCTACATAGATTTTTTCATATGACAATGATGTCAAAGGTTGACTTAACTGTAACTCTACACTTTACCTAAGTCAATAAATTTGCAAATTAGATCAAACTCATCGGTTATTCTGCTTAAACAACAAAGTCTAAAGCTAATGAACAGCTTATAACCTGTTGTTTATGTCAGATAAACCATGTTTCTGATTCCTGTTTTTTTGTCCCTGACGGCCCTTGCCTCCAACGTTATCTAAACTGCTATTGGGATGTTGCAGTTCCAAGATTATGGTGCATAATCTGTCACATAAGAAATACTGTGAATGGATCTTTTAACCCCGTTTCATTCTTTAAAGTGCGCGAAGTCTTCTGGCATATCATCTGAGATCAAGACCATTGAAAAGCAGGGGGTAGAATGAGGGTTCCCTCTGAGCGTCCACTGAAAAGCGAGGTTCCAATCCCCGCAGAAAGAGAGGAGCAAGGTAGTGGCGATGGCCCTTACCTCTCAGCTCCCTGTCCTCTGGAGTGTCCATGTGCATCCTTTCTCCTCTCACATGTATCTTTAGTCAAGTTTACTAATTCTGCAGTCCATTGCAGTGCATAGTCCAGAGGTTAGCAGTGATATTTAGAGTTTCAGAGTTTTTGAAAAACAGCGGGAGCAAAGAACATAGTAAAAATGCTATTTCATCCTTGAGTGCTACATAAAACTTTATGAAAAGTTTGGTTATGTCAACTCCGGCCACAGCAGTCCATCTTTTGGCTATCAGGTGGGTCAGTATGGTGGGAAAAGAAAGTTCGAGTTGTAGAGCAAATGTTATTGCCACGAAGTCCGAATTCTCTTGATGTCCCATTATCAGCTGTCAGCTACTGCCTCAGAGTCTGAAAACAAAGCATCTTCCAGCTCTGCATCCTCAAAGCCATGAAACGTGGAGGCCTCGCTGTCTGATGCGTTCCCAAACAATTCTTCAAGAGCACTCAGCTTCCTCCCATCCTTCTTCACTCCTCCTCTTCCAGCTACCATGAAAACATCAGGGTCAGAGCAACACAGACAAGGCCACACTTTCTTCCAGCTGTTCTAACAAACTGATTTTCAGGAAAGAAACGCTCGGCTATCTTAGTGCAGATGATTTGAGAAATGCTTTCCTGAGATCTCCAGGAGATGTGGTTCAGCGAGAGCGGAAAACAAGAGGGGGGAAAAAAGAAAAAAATACAACTAAAAAGAAAAAAAAAAAGTGCAGCTAAAGGCGGCGTAGAAATGCGTGAAATCTGAGCAACCAAAGAGTGAAGGCATGTCATATGGAGGCAGAAATCTTTGATGGATGAGGCTGACATGGAGAAGCAAGCAGAATGGAGCCAAGCAGCAGATTCATTGTACTGACATTAGTTTGAAATCACATTTTCAGAGCTTTGAATTATTGTGGTCTGAGAGGCTCATTGATAACCCACTGAAAAGACAGTGAAGTGACTTGAAAGCTTTTTCAATATCTAATGAAATCAACAATGTTAGTTACAGACAAAACTTTATTTGAATGTTTGTGATTTAAACACACGCTGTAGAACTCACTCTGAGCTTTACAAGCAACATGTCTTGATTAATGTCCCTACTAAATATACATTTCCGAGAGAAACTTACATGATTTTTAACCTATGTGAAAAAGCTATGTGACTATCTGATGCAGAATTGTTAGCTGTATCACATATGAGGCTTTGGGGGAAACACACCAAAGGACCATGAACCAAAATAAAATCACTATGGAGATCTCATGCATGTATAATGTGGTTTGTCCTTTTCTCGCTGAAATAAGAAATCATGAAACTGCCATGCTTACTGCATATGGTGAGCTTAATCTCCAATGTATCATGATAAAATGCCATTGGTTCCATAAGTATGCATGGTACCAACAGGATGCAATGATCAAATTCTAATCTTTTAGTCTTTAAATTTTTTTCCCCCTTCTTTGTAAACTCAGTAAAAGCAAAAATAACCCAACCTCTCAGAACTGGTTTTCAGTCTTGTCTATGACAGGATAGATGGCGATGAAAAAGTTTTTAGGTCAATGTATTTCTGATCATTACTAAACTTTTCTAAGATTATTCTGATTTGCAAATCATGGTTTTTCTGTTTTTATTAACACTACCATTGACTATAATCTTACAACCTTTTTGATGAGTAGTTTAAAGGTAGCTGCCATTTACCACCTTGCACTAATCTCTCACTTTTTCCCAAGTGTGTGATGGCTTTACTTGGCTAGTTGCAATTTAGACATATATAAATAAACTTGGCGAGATGGTAAAGAAGGATGTTCTAACCATGTTTTTATACAAAGCTACTTTCTTGATAAAAACACTCAAGCCCTCCATATGATTTTCGTATGAATTCTTTAATTTTTGTGGAAGGAAAACAAAGCTTTTCCTTATAGCATACATCAGTGACGAGGGGAACAAGAAAACAAAAAGAAAGAAAAGAAAATCAGTTTTCGAATAGCTGACTTACCAGAGCGTCCACAGTCTGAGCAGGACACCAGCTCCTCTGCCTGACCGGTTTTCCTGTTGGAGTCCTGGTCTCCCAGGCAGAAGTCACAGTAGTCATTGGGGATAACAGCACCATCTGACCCTTTCTTAGCTGCTATGAGGAACAAGAGTTCTGGATGAGAATAGCTGGAATTCCAACTGAAAGTTTGATTGAATTTGGAAGTTTCTGAGCAGTCTCTTGAGGAACCGTCCGTGTAATGTTTTCTAAGTTATATAAAAGGTCTCACGCTTGTGGTTGTCTGAAGTCTGAGGGGAAGCTGGGGGCATATCCACTTCCTTCTCCTCTTCACCTTCCTCCTCTGCCAGGTGAGTGTGGGTGTAATGGTAACTCAGCCCAGGGCGATTCTTGTAGCGCTTTCCGCAAACTGCAGAATAAAGGCGTCAGGTCCATCAGGAATGGGCAGTAAGACAAATCCTTTATCTAATGAATATCTAAGGCCAAGAAAATGGTTTCATATGTTCAATGAGATGAAAAGCACTAAGCCAATAGGTCAGCAACAGACAGTGAACATAAAATCTTACGTCAACATAAAACTCGACAATTAAAGTTATCTTTACACTATTATTTACTTATTTGTCATTGACTTAAGGCTAGATTGTTTTTTTAATCTACTTGTAGTTGTACTGAAATAAGCTGTATGAAAAAAGGCTCTCTGATGGGAGCATCTGTACCTAGCTGAAAATTTGTGGCCAGACTGAGGTTTCTCTCATTTTCTCTGTGGTACATAAAGTCAAGAGTTCTATTTTTCCATGTCATTCTTATTTGCATATCTCAGGCTAACTGAGATGTAGAAGCACAGCATGTTTGTGCAACTTCCAGTTGATCAAATTACATCACAAGCTGTTTTCAAATTAAAGTAGTAAATTTTATGCTATGACAGTTTCAGTCCATGAATTAACTTCTTTATATTTGCTTGCATTTTTATTTTACTTTGTTTTCTGATCTCAAGATCAATTTCCCACACTGTCAATATAACTTTTTACTTTTTTTAAATAAAATTATCGGTTGATTTGATCAGTTCAGTATAGCAATTGAGGCATTAGAGGAAAGGAAAAAGCGTCACCATTAGCATTATGGAAAACATTAAACACGAATGGCTCCTGTGGTTTCCCTCCTGGAATAATTTATGCACAACCTTTTTCTGCACTTGCAAATGAAAATGTCTTGTCCAGGCTAAGACTGTTGGACAATATTTTCATGCTTTATTAAAATAGTGTTTTGTCTCCCTTTTTATAGAGACTGCAATCCTGAGTACTTTATGCATAAGTTTAAATTTGTGCTGGTGTAGCGGTTTAAAACCATTTTATTCGATTTATTGATGAATTGGGATTTTTCTAAATGTCACTAGGTCCAGGAGTACATAAGAAGCGCACGAAAATACATCATTGCTGCTTGTGTCCAATAAACTTTACTGAATAGTGGCAGTGGCAGCCCCTCGGCTGTGCCCCTGATTTCACGCTTAGTATTACATTTCTAAAAGTATTTCTTCATATGCATGATGTCATGTAGAAGTCTTAACATGAATGTTGTGCTTGTTAATGTCAATGTTCCTCATGGCAGCATGTCAGCAGCCACTTCAGACAACGAAGATAAATGGAAAAGAAGAAGCAAGGAGTTAACAAATGTGCCTAGCAGAAACACGTCTACAGCAGCTTGTTTAAAGCACAACAGCCACAGAGCATCCTATGAAACATGCATCGCTCTGTTCTGCAGTCGCTGGGCTGGTATTAAGGCTTCATTTGCAGCGAGCTAGTACAGGGGTGCGTGGCTTAGTGTTAGTGTCATGCAGCGCTTGTGCTGAAAGGGAAGACTAGACAGGAGGAAAGCATTTCAAGCATTCAGTCAGCCATTCCCACACCAGATGCCAGTTAGAAAAAAAGGCTGATCATAACCATAGCTAATGGAGCACCTAGGAGGGAAAGATAGCAACAAGTTCCGATACCTTCTTCAGCCTTTTTTGAGTTATGCTTTTGTTTGTATCTATCTGGAACAGAGAAGACACAAAGGCAAACAATAACAGAAAGACAGAACGAGACATAAAAATGAGGATGAGATTCATTTGTTCGAGGTTCAGTCAGCATCTCTGTCCACAACCCCCCATGGCAATCCATTCCTGAGAGATTTTCTCTGAGTACGAGAGCAGCATGCTAGTCAGGTCTGGCTTAACAGCAAACTCCTCATGCTACAGAAAACTGTTCTTGGGACCAAACAAACATGGCAATTGTTGGAAGATGGGAGAAAAGCACACCTCTTAACTGTACTGATTTTCTTCATCTTTAGAAAATGAGAGGGTCCAGACTTTAAGACATAAATGACAGAACACGGTGTGCAAAGGGGCAGGCTCTCGTTTTCCTTACTGTCACAGACGTATGGTTTGTCCTGGTCGTCCATATTAACGATTTCTGACTTTCTGCGGGTAGATCCTCTGCTCTGTAGGGAGACGCAGCACACGTCAAGGTTTGTGATAATGCTCTTTGCAGCATTAATCAAACTAGCAGAAGACGGTCCACATTACCATCATTTTGAATGAATCACTCTGCTTGAGGACAGACACACAAATATAACCTCTGTTCTTTTCTCGGACACTCACTTTGCCTCGGTTCCTGTTCTTTCTCTTTGGAGTGTCTACATCAAACTCTTCATCGTCGTGGAAACTGTCCCCGTTTTCCTCTGCCTCGAGTACTCTCTGCACAGTACAACCACACAAGGGGGTTACATCAAAGCATGACTATGCTTGAGGAGTGCAAAAAAAAGAGGACAATGTGGTATGGATACATTTACACTCCTATATGTCAGAGGGATTTTTTTTTTACAACAGCCTCAAAGTTTTTAATACATTCTAATCATAGAACCTAATAAGGCAGACAGTCACAACGTTCATTCAAATTAGTGATCAGGCACAATCCCAAATTCATGACAATTTGATCATTTACAAAAACAGATGCGAAGAGAAAAGCCCCCCATATCAATCTGGGTTCTCTATCTATATTTTTTTTATTTTTTTTTAATACCTGTATTTCAAGCAAGGTTTCCTCATCTTTACTGAGGCTGTTTTTTTTCTCCAGCAGGCTGTCCCCCCTTAGGAGAGCCTCCAAAGCTGTGGCCTCCCCAGTTGGCCCCTCACGTTTGGGGGCCAGCTCTGCTTCTGTGGAGGTGGGGTGAAAGAAAACAACAGACAGAAAGGATTTGGCTTGTGTGTGTGTGTGTTTACTCATGCCTTTTCTTAATGCTATTCTGAACTTTTACTTCCTGGCAAAGACCTTCAAAAAGCTTCAACGCAAATTTGCACTGATTTGGGCTTTAAATGAAGAACTTCCTTAGATGTTTTATTGACACTGGAGAGGAAATTGTTGGGTTAGAGGTACAGAAACAAATAGCATTAGCAATAACAAAAGAAAAAGTCAGTATGAGTGTCAAAAGAAACAAACTAATATCACAGTATGAACAAAAACAATAGTAATCAATGATAAAAATATGGTTTTATGATGTTTTAGGTTGCAGCATTTGAACTTTTACATGAAGGTGAAAATGACAGACGAAACTATTTTCTTCAATGGGCTTGAATCAAGGAAAACTGTACATGTTCTGCACGCATGAGCTCTCTTTACATCTATAATAAATAAAAAAAAACAATTCAAAGGCAGACAATGAGATTGTACATCAATGAAGCCTGAGATGGGCCAGATCAGATGTCCAAAGCATGCCGCTTCTCTTTACTTTCCACTTATCAGAATCTGCTTTATCTTTTTCTGCCCTCTACTCATTTCCGCAGAGATGTATTTGCCGTGGCACTAACTCTCTGTCCTCCCCTTTGAACTCTAAAAGCAGGATGAAAAAAGAAAGTGGGGATATGGTAAGAAAGGCAGTGAGTGAGCCTGGTGGCTGAGGCTGTAAGACACGTATGGAACACAAAGCCGCTAACCCCC